CCAGCAGGTGAGCAAATTCCAGGTATAAAACAATGCTTCCACCCCTGCCAGACCACTAGCAAAACTGCCTCTGATACTACTCTAATACCATTCCAAGTTTGGTTGTGTAAGCAGTTAGGAGAGCCCTGCTCTATTTTGCTTACCAGCCAACCTGCAGCTTGATGGCTGTAAGGAAGCATATTGCCTGGGTGCTGGGGAGCCTCAGAGAAACCACATTTCATTTCTCAGTCACCGTCCTGTTTGAATGGTTGTGCTGCAGCAGGGTGTAGGACAGACATGGGGAATAAAGGGACCTGCGGTGACTCACCTGGCATCCAAATGGAGACATACAGAAGGTAATGACGTGGTGAAGCCTTCTTAAAAAACTGCACCTCCTCTCCTCTCCAGCCCAGATCGTTAGGATCCCCCCCCAGTGCTCAGTGGTATTTCTGATTTGGGTCCTTGCTGGGGTGGATCATTTCCTTTCTTTTCTTGTCTCCAGGCTGAGGGCCTCAGTCACTCAGTGCAGGTGAATGGTGGCCCCACGCTGAGTGCTGAGATGTAACCACCAAAGGAAAGCACGCTTTGCATAGGGGCTAAACGAACACCAGCTAAATAGCAAACCAATAACTTTCTGCATTTAAAGTCTCTGTGGGCTTGATTTAATTGGTTCTGCTGCAGTTTTATCAATTAGGTTTCCAAACAGGTGCCAGGCACATCACTGTGAGCAGAGCAGCTCTTTGCAAACTCCACCTAAATGAACAGGGGAGAGCCTGGGGCCTTGCCTGCTCAGGGCTGAAAAGAGGCTGGATGAAAGGGGCAGCCGAGGTGAGACTCAGCCCCCATCGTCCACCCTTACTGCAGTGAGGGGAGCACTGCAGGGCCCAGCTCCAGCCCCGAGCCCCAAACAATCAGTCCTTTTCCCTGCCCATGCAGGAATTCACAGGCCAGGAGAAAAGCAATGTCCTAGCCAAGCGGTGAAAGGCTTCCCTTCCTCTTTGATTTTCGTATCCTCTGAGTTCATTAAATTCCTCTTGAAGAGCAGAAATCTAGCTGTCGGCTTGTTAGAGCTTTAATCATTCCTAAGTGCTTGTGTCAACAGAGGAGCAAATGAATTCAGCAGCACAGCTTGAAGCTTAGTCCAGCAGGACAAAAACCTCTATACTCTTCTAAATACAAGCATTATTGATTTCCTCAGCGTGTGACTTTCTCACGTAAAAGCTCACTGCCTGTGTTACAGCTCAGGTAACCTTCAGCTCTTCTGTTATTTTCTAGATGCTCTGTGCACTCATTTGGCTTATTTATTGTCAGGAACCAGAGGGCTGAGCAGGGCAGTGAGATGTCAGAGCACACACAGCTGGGCAGTGCTGAGCCCTCAGCACAAACGCAGCTGCAGCCATCAGGTCCTGACCATACCAGCAGGATGCAGCTCACAGCAGTGCTGGATCTTTGGATGCAATGAGGGAAGCTGCAAACCAAAGCATTCAGAAAGCTGAGGACTAGCATTCAATCTGTGCACAACTGTGTTATTTTTTAGAATTGCTCAGGTTGGAAAATACTTTAGAGATCTTTGAGTCCAACCATGATCTAACCATGCTACCCTACCTTTAACCCTCCACTAAATCATGTCCCTGAGCACCACATGCAGTGCTTTGGAAACATGCAAAAGGAGAAATGAACCCCAGAAGGCTGACATACCACTCATGTTCCCCAAAGAACATCTCTCATGCCCACAGCCCTGTCTCCATCAGTTCTCAGCAAACACCCTCCTCTTACCTCCCACCCACCATCCCAAGGTGGAAAATCACGTTTTTGCTGTGGCGTGGTGAAGATGCATCTAGTGGAGTTTCTGAGATATTTGGATCTTGCAAATACGAGGAACACTGCTGTGCTCAGGCAGCAATTCTTCACCCATTCGGCCTTGTGAGCTCACGCTCTAGTTCTGTTCTGCTTTGAAATTACCTAAGTACATTAAATACAGGGGCTGAGCTTCCAAGTGGTTCATGCAGTTTTCATTACCCCATGGCACAAGTTGGTTCTGAAGTGAGAAACCAGGAAACCTTCCCATTGCCAGCACTGTTAACAGAAGCAGAAACTGGGTGGTGTTCTATATACCCCATATCCTGCAAAATCCACTGCAGTCACTGGGGGACACATCCACGAAGCAGAACTGTCCCGTAACCAGGTAAAAAGTCAGAAAATAATGATACAGCACAAGCAGCCAAACTCATGCATTTGTTCTTTCCAAAGCCAGGGATTTAGGTCACTGCAGAAGCTGTCATTTGCACCAGTAGAGATGAGTTAGGGGAAAAAAAAAGAAAGAAAAAAGTTATTATTTTTGGAGGGAGACAAGATGTAGAAAAGGCAATACCCCCAAAAAGATGCTTCCTGTGCTATACAGAGATACAGAGCTCAGCCAGGGCCCCAGCTGTCACCAGAGAGCCATGGCACCTGCACAGCCCTGCGAGGAGCAACAGTGGCTGAGAGAGACATGAAAGGGGATCGGGCAGGAAGGCAAACTGTGAGCTGTGTGCGAATGGGAATGCTGCTGAGAGGAGAGAATGGAGCAAGAGCTCTGATCAATCATTTGACAGCAACTGTGCAACCACAAGGCAGCCCTTTCTCATCACCTGGAGTTCATTCAGTGAGCTGTTTCTCTCTCAGTGCCAGGGTCAGTGCCACAGCCAACAGCAGAACCTGGCAAATCCCTCCTTACTCATCACTGCACTTAGCATAGAATGGCTTGGGTTGAAAAGGGCCACAATGACCATCTTGTTTCAATCCCCTTGCTATGTGCAAGGTCACCAACCACCAGACCAGGCTGCCCAGAGCCACATCCAGCACATTTTGGCACTATGGCTTTTGCATCATATTAAGGAGAAGAGTTCAGATCCCTCTTCCAGTTAATATGCATAAGCCACATCATGTCTGGTCGTTCTCTGTTGGAATTCTAATAGAAACGAAAAGCACTTACTTCACTGGTTTTTGTTTTGACCTGATGTTCATCAGTTCTGGCAGTTTCCCAGTCTCAGAACTTTGCAGCCACTTCTATAACTAGGAACTTAAAATCCAAACATAGCGATGGCCTCTTCCTTTTGCTTTGACTGAGAGATGAAAGCAGGAGGAGAAGGTGGAATATTTATCACCATAAGAGAACAGCAAAAAGCTGAATAATGCACAACAATGCAACTTTTTTTTGTTGTTGTTTTTGTTATTTTATTGATATTAGTGAAGAAAATTCAAATTTCATCTTTCTGATGTGGTACAATTGCTTTTTCTGGTGGGCCAACAGCTCTGACTGCTTATTTAAAGGCTGAATAATGCTTCCCAGTTGTATGATTAGTTTCTACAATTTAAGTTCTCATACAGTATTGCTTTCTTCCTCTGGGTATATAAAATGGTCCATTGAGTTCATGATCCTCCAGAATCAACTGTTATTCTATCTACTGTTTTAAGATACATTCAAATAAAAAGGTACTTAAATTTACTTGCAATAAGTGCACACATACAACAGCAAAGAGAGCTGATGACATTTTACTAAAACATTTTAAGTTCATAGAATAAATATAAGTCTCCAAACACATGCAGTAACTGACCGATGTGTTTTTTCTTTCTCAAAAAATATCCTTAGTGTCCATAGCACTACTGCAATAACTACTTCATTCAAAAAAATAAAAAGAAAAAAAAAAAGAAAAAAAAAAAAGAGAAAAATCACCTATCTCTTGTCACAAAGACTAAAAGACAGCTTCATTTATACAAGAAATTATCAGTGCTAATAATTTAGTAACAGTCTGGTACAAATTCAATTCACGGCAATGACACGGAGTGTGATTATGGTGGCAACAAACAGGGAGCTTGGTTTAGATGGCACCAGAACTGCCAGGAGAAGAAAGCAGAAGCTAACAGCCCCATGGGCTCCTTTCCCCCCACCCATTCCAAAAAGAAGCTGGGGATCTGCTCAGCTAATGAAACAAGCTCCCTCCAGTCCGCTCCCATTCCTTTCAATTCCCTGTAAAACACCCAGCAGAGGTTTGGGAGAAGAAAACTGCGAGTCAAATTAGGATCATTTGGCCACAACTCAATGGTGGGTGATGCCTTTAGTTTCTTAACTGAAGTTACAGATTTGGCATTGGGAGTTGGGTTTTTTGTTGTTTTTCCAATTTAAATCCACTGCAAAATAAATCATTTCACATACTCTGCTAGGGTCAAAATTTGGAAGAAGGTTTCTTTGAAAAAAAGAAAACAGAAACTAGGCAGGGAATATTCTCACTCTGCTTCTAAGACCGTGTTCTTCTGCAGCACAAAACCTGAAGATCAGCTTATTGACTGCAAGGTGCATTTCCCATCTTGCACCATTCCATTACTAAACGTTTATGTGGTTCTCTGCCGAGGTTCCAAGGACGCACCTCTTCCTAACACTGGTTTGCTACATGTTCTCATATAACATTCTTATCTGTCAATCCACTCCGCAACTCCAACTTCTAGGTAGTCAGAGCCACGTTTACCTCATGAGTTGTGAAAACTGTTCTTTGGGCGCACTGACAAAGCGTGTTTCAGTGGCAGCAACACATAGTAAAGCATTTTCCCCTTTCACAACCCAGTGCAGCATTGAAAAACGAAAACTACAAAGAAGTCACACAGAATGTAAGCATGCCAAATGAGACAGCAGTGGTAGAAATATGTCAATATTCCAGGTACCCAGTAGGCCTGCTGACCTCTACACAGTATTAGTTCAAGTTTATCATATCAAAGAGGAGGAGAATGCAGAACAGAAAAGTTTCATCCATTCAGGCATAACAGCCAGGCACTCCAATAACTCAGCTCAACTCATCTACAAAAGCAAAATCAAAAACTATCAAGTGTTAAACTGAGTGCTTTATCAAAGCATAAATGCTCCCATGCTTCAAGTGATGAAATGCGAGTTCTCACATAACATACTCAACAGCTTCCCATGCACCTTCAACTCAAGTTAGGCTAGCTACAGAATTCATGTTTTTCCTAGTCAAGTTGTCTTGGTTATGTTCTTTTGTACTTGTTTTTTTTTCAGTGCATCTTAAAAAACCTTTTCAAAAGGTTAGCAAGTTAACCCTAATACAGCAATCGTAATGTAGAGCCTTTTGCACTCAATCAAACCGTAAAATAATCCAATAGAACTGGTACGTATTTACACATTTATACAAAGTTTACACATTTCTCCCGTTAGGCACGAAGTTGATTTGTCAAACTCAAGAGGCAATGAAGAGGTGGGGAAAGGAAAAGAGGACCAGAGAAAGAATCTGAGTATTTCCATTTAAAAAGACTAGCTGTAAAAATAAAAGTCCTTCATCGTAAGCTAGTTTGCTTTGGGAGCTTGGTTCCCATGAGGATCCCCGAGGTGAGGGATGTCGGGCCTTTCATCTGCATGCTGGAACCCACCATGGTGGGGAAACTCCGGTTCCTTCGGATGCCAGTGTTCAGCTGGATGCCCCCAATGGCACTGGTCACAGCAGGACAGCCCAGCGGGAGAGTGTCTGGTGCCAGGCCTCTGGGAACAAGTGCCCTCCCTTGTCCTTGTGCCCCACAGACAAGAGGTCCCTGGTCATCAGTTAAAGGAGGAGCTGGCGCTTGCCCTGAACTCACAACTTTGGCAATACCAAACCTCCTGACCTTGTCCACAAGATTAAGGTTGGAGACAGACACGTCGGTCTGACTCTCGCTGTTCCTGATGTTCTTTTTATTCCTCACCTCCTTCAAGATGGAACTAGCAGGCTTCGAAGCCAAGAAGTTGTCATAAGGTGGGCTGGTGCACTTGAACTCAAAAGACGGAGGGGAAGAAGAAGGTGTCTGCATAGGTGAGTTTGGTGGAGTGGAAGGAATGATTGCCATCTTAGGGGAATACGTGTTCAGGAGGGTGCCTTTGCTGGCTCTGTCCCAGCTCTGCGGATTGTACACCGCTGCCGAGATGCCCCTTTCCTTCAGCAGCCACACCAGCCCCAGAGATGTGCTCATTGTCGTCGTGGATTCCCGCAGGTTTGTGAAGGATTCGGCCAAACTCAGACGCCGAGGAGTACAGGGAGTAGCCACAGGGGTGCCTTTCAAGTTGCTAACGCTGCCACAAGCTGGAGTAGGTGCTGCGTTAAGGCTGAAAGCAAAGAGGCAGTCAAATTATTCTCTCGTTAAGGAATTAAAACTGTAAGCAAGACTTTTAGCCTTGAGAAAGGACTTCTATCCATTTTGAGAGTGCATGGGAAAATGCAAATTTCCCAGCTCCTCACAAATGCAATCACCTCACAACACAAACACCTCTTACAAAATGCATCTCTCCCCTACGCAGGCAGTTTCAAGGGATTAGTGCATTCCTCAACAACCCACCCCAACATTTCTTCTGATAAACTACTAAACTGAGAGGTTTGTGATCAACTTCTTTGGCTTTTCTTCCCTATCTACTAGCCATAAGCTCTCGCTTCCGTGAGACAAGGAAACAGTGGGATAGTCTTCTAGTGTGGCTTCTGAGTGCACCTAACTGCTGGGCATTTTGGTACTGCTGGGTCACAGCAAAGCCAAGGGAAGAGGGGAACATATTAGCTATAGAAGCATTTGTGAGCAATGCTTCTGGAATTTGGAATTGTTACCACCAACATGCACTTCTGCAAGGTCTAGCCCTTCTTCTCTTATGTAGAATTTGTCTATGTTTAAGGAGAAGGGGATGTGGGACCTGACTTTTGATTATGATACAGAGCAGTGTGAACAACCATCAAAATGAAAAAAATAGTCAAACTCTTGGTCATCGATTGGCCAGCATGTAGCTGATAACTAAGAGCAAGCCAAGCATGACAAAGAGCTGTTCTACTGTTAATTCAGTTAAAATAGTGGTTTCTACAGTTTGAAACATAGCTAAATTTTCTCCCAGATCTAGTTCTTTCTTTTCAAAAGAATCTGTTTAAGCAGAGGGTAAGCAAATCTTACACTGGTAATTTATATTTAGAACAAGTGGCAAACATTACATACTTATGGTTACTGCTGTCTTACTGAGTATTTCTTTCTTAAGTTGGTTATTAGAGTTTGAAATATCTCAAGGCACATCAAATAGCATTCATTTTGTTAGATCATCCTCTTCCTAGTAAGTCAACTATCTGAACAAAGACTAAATGCAAGCATCTATTTCAAATGAATTATCGGTACAAAGGCATTCTAAATCCTTCGTACCATAGTATGACATCTCGTAGATGCTGAAAGTTTGAGTGTTTCTGACACCACTCATTCTTTAAAAAAAAATTAAAAAAAAAATAAAATACTTGGTAGTCACAGATTTGGTCAGCAAAGACACATCTACCTGCATCCAATCCCAACTCAAAATCTGTGGCAGTCCAAGGTACACCGTTCACCAACAAGCCATGGTGTACTCAGTCACTGCAGAAATAAGATGTGTAGGTCACCCATAACTCTTCAAGTTCACTTCTTTTGGGGAGAATCCCAAGGGTTCTATGGAGCTTTAAAAAGAAGTTTTCTGGCAATTTCTAACCATGCTGAGGATATCACGTTTTCGCCATGTATGTTCACACAAAAAAAGCAAATTCCACAGTAATATTACCTTAAGCATTGATTCATTCCTCTAGTGGCATTCTCAAAGTCTTTAACAATGCAAAAGCTGATGCTAACAAGAATTTACTGACCTGAGAGCTTATCACTGCTCAAAGATGGAAATCTTCCTCATTACCTTGCCAGGTTAGCAAATAGAAAGCGCTCAGCAAAGAGTCAGACAAACACCAAAGCCAAAGCAAGAGAGGGATAAACCAAGCAGGTGGGAGGGGGAACAGAGATAGGGGTGGGATTTCTTTTTTCCAAAGAGCCAAGCTGTTGTGTTGGTTCAGCCATAGCATGCAACTTCAACTGCAGTTGGGTTCTCTGCTCCAAGGAATGAATCAAACAGCCATACTGAAATAATCTGGCTGGATTTCCAGGTGCAGCTACGTCTCAGGCAAAATAATTGCATCTTTTTTTTTTTGCATAAGGACAAAAGGGCCTGTATAACAACAGACAAATTTAACCTTATATCAACACTACTATGGCTGAAATGGGAACTCCTAGGAGGCTTTGTTGAGTTTCTGATGCGAGCTTTGTCTAATCACATACAGCTATCAGCTGACAAACTCTAGTCCACTGATCTCCTAAGAATCAGCAGCACTAACATCTCTGTGGTACTCCTTAAATGATGAAATACTGACCTGATGTTAGCAAGTCTCAGGTCTTGTCTTCCTGGCTAAATAGGATCTAACCAACATTATCTCTACCACAATTTGAACTGCAACAACTTCTACTGAAAGCAGTAAAATTATAAAGGTGTTTTTTTTTTTTCCCCTCCTACAATTCAGCAAGAGGAATCCCACATATTCCTACCTGTAAAATGTAGTGAAACAGTTTTGAGAGAATTTATATGTAGGATAGCATAATTTGAAAAGCAGCCTCACTGAGCTGCCCCCAAATGTGTCGTCTCACACCACCCTGTGGGCTGTGGCACTCAGTACAGGCAGCAGCTGGGCTACAGGAAAGTATCATTAGGAATCCTCTTCACTTTGCCAGAACTGCCAGTGGCAGGGGAGGATTCCCAGCAAAGCTAAGACCACGCGGACCCACACACACAAAACTCTGAAGGTAAGGCTGTGCAGAAACAAAGAGTTAGCTCACGGCTCCTGTTACAAGCACTGATGGAAGCTACATCTTCACAGCTGCAACTGCAGTTTGTGATGCATCTCCCCTAATGCAAGTGCAAAAGAAATCTTGAAAAGCACAACGGAGGGAGCAGAAAGAGGAAGGGAGCTTACTCTGTGAACTGACTTCCTGCAGGACAGGATGAAGTGCATTTTGGAAACTCAAGACAAGAAGCTTCTAAGATGTCCTAGTTATGAGACGAAAACTACAGCACTTGAATTGCTTTCTTCCCCCCCCAGCCCCAGATTTCAGTATCAGAAGTAGTTAGAATAGCATCTATATGTATTTGTCAGTACTGGTATGCATTACAGTGCAGTTAAAAAAACACATCCCTGAAAGGAAGTGGGTATTATGTAGGTGCTGGGCTTTTTTTGTTGTTTGGTTGGTTGATCATTTCAATATTACTTAAAACAAGAAATACTTTCCCCTTCAAACTGACCAACACTGCAGAACAACACAGAAACAGGCTCAGTCTAGGCTCAGCAAATGAGCCCAGGGACAGTGCCAGAGTTAGACTGAGAGAAGAAACAAACAAACGAGCAACTCATGGAGCTGGCTGAAATTTAGTCAGGTTAGAGCAGAGCCTGGGTTAGAGGCCAGGTTCAAATGAAACCAGTCAGGAGAGTATCTGAACTGCTGGGGTTAGCTGGTGCCACAGACACGGGCATTCCTTCCACATGGCCCTGCCAGCACAGGCAGCATTGCTCACCCCCTGCACGCTGGGTCCTAGAGTCTGCCCTACATCTCCTCTCAGCATAACGTGACATAATGCAGTTTCCTCATCCTTCTCACATGACCTGTGAAGAATCATTTATAGTCGGTAAGGAGGAGCTCCTTCAACGTGCCCATTGAATACATCACAGCGTTTATTTTGGTCTTTTTCCTCCCGAACCAGTTATGAATTTTGGAGTAATCAAGTGACCTGGCAATGTACTGAATTTAGCTGTCAGCTATGGCTGATCTGTTAGATTTAGTAACCAGCATGATCAGGGAGTTTATTACAACCACAGTTAACAGCAATTCAACAATAAAAAGAATGAAATAGAATTGCAGCCAAATAAGGGGGTCTCTTCAGCAGCAGAGTTGAGGAGAAAGATAAGAGAGAATGAAGAAAAACGAGCCAGGCCACGATTAGCTCACTACAGTCGGAAAGGGAAGCAGAAAAGTTACATTTAATCATCACCTATTTCCTTTACATGTATTTATCACCTCAGAGGTGTTCATATTTAATACCCTTACTTCTCACGCGTTCCTTAGGTGGCCAGTGCCCATCTGATGTCTAAACAAGTCTAGACACACCATCTCTGAATGGGTACCTACACAGGGGTACACTCCCCCATAGGAGCTGAAAGGGATAGAGAAAGCAATGAGGCATTGTCCTTCTAAACAGAAAAACACACTTTAACTTCCGATTTGCTAAGGAAGGAAATTGTCCTCTCTAGGTATGAAATTCACTCCCCCTCCTCAATTCTCAGCTCTATGCCTTCCATAAGGGTTTTCACATACATACCAACTACTATTATCAAGCCAGTCCATTAGTTTTAGTCTGGCTGCTAAGATCTTATTTCCAACAGTTAACCAAGGGATAGAGTAGACAGCTCCCTGGTTTGATTAAGCTGTGTTTCCTCCTCCATTCCTCATGTACTTCCTGGGTACTACTGAAGCATCTACCTCTATGTTTCTTTACTGGCATATCTCTCTTTGTCCCACACTACAGATTTCAGTTTGTCCTTTAGAGAAAAATCTCCTTCATTTTTTTTATTTTAGACAAGACAGAAGATGCACACTTGGGTCAACACCACATTCTGATCATTTGTGCATAGCATCTGTGGCTAGTTTGGGATAGCTAGCTTTGGATACTGGAAACAAGCTTACATTATTTGTCAACCTGCAATATTTTTAACTGCAGATAATAAAATTTAAGCTGCTTTGACTGGCTGTCTAAAACATTATAAGTGCCTGCCAAATAAAACCAGCTTGAGGCAACTGAAAAGAGGAGGAACAATTTCAGAAGTGCACTAATTCACCAGTGTGGCTGATGCTTTTGCTCATGCCATTACTTTACATTTCCTCATAGGGAAACTCTCTGACACAGCTGAAGGCTTTGCCATCATGGGAAACCCTTACCTTGGTGTGACTCGTGTGAGCTCATCAGAAGGGTGCAGAATGCGGCAGGTGGTGAAGGTGAAGGTGGAGTTGGTTTGTGACATGCACTTCCCAGGATGAGGTACTAAATTAAAAAAAAAGCAAATTCTTTGCATTTTACACAGGAAAAAAAAAAACCCAAAAAACAAAAAACCAAACTTCTGTGTACTGATAAGACAGATGCAAAAAGTGATGAGATACCTCAGGCAGGATCAATGTAAGAGAAGTGAAATATACAAGTGCTATGGTGTTATAACACACTTTTCTCCAAACATATCTAAGATTCCAAGGCCAATGCTAAGATGTTCTTCTGAAGCTTCCCCATGATCAATACCATTGCAGAAAAGTCTTGCTGAAAACAGATTTAGACAAGGCAACACTTGAAATGCTAGCCCTCATCTAAACCAGCAAATTTCATTGGCAGGAAATAACAACAAACATTCTCTAGTACCAGCAGCTAAAGGGCACTAAGATTTGCTGAATGCTCATGCACTTCTGCATTGAGATTGATCCACAAAGAGGTATCCCCATCACTTTTCAGTAATGGATCCAGCTTGCTAGTGCTACAGGAACAGATCAAAAAGTCGGGGCAGTGAGGGGTGGACACACAGCGCTGTTTCTCTCTTCTCACATCCATGGTAAGGAAAGTGGTGATTTTTTGGATCCACTACTGTGCATCTTGACATTTCCCCTATGCATGTGCTTAGGTTCTTTAAGAATGCGTGTCCTCAGCTGCACAATACAGCAGTTTTTAAACTGTAGTAGTAAAGCACTTTCCCCTGTAACTGTGGCTGTAAAGATTTCCCTCTGTTAATGTATCATTAACTGGGGAAAGAAGCTCACAGTTTAAAAGCTGATGGATTTGTCCAATTGCCTTCCTCTTAGTAGAGATACTTCTGTGGATGCATTAATCTGCTGTATAATGCAGCCATGGTCATTGCAAAATAACTAGAGAATTTAAGAGCCATGCATCTGAAAAGCTGATTGAAGAACACCCAGAGTTAAGTATTACATCAAGGATATCATGATTGCATAGGTTCTGTTAATATCCAAACTTAGCAGTGGTCAAAAGACATGCGCAACAGAAACTGTGTGCAGTTCCCTCCCTCTTGTTTCTACCCAATCCTCTTGAGCCATTCCCCCAAGGAAGCCACGTTTCAATACCACAGTAACAAATATCCAACACACTGCAAAGGACAGACAAGACAGACCAACTAGATCAGACACCCAGACACCATCCCCAACTCCTGGAGATGCTTAGCAGAAGCAAGGCTGGTCTAAATTGTGGCTGTGTTCCCTTTTCTATGTACAAGTATCACAGCTCAAAATAATGTGCATGTTTAGGTAGTCCCTTAGGAACACATAAGCACTGTGTGAGGGGCAGAGCACAGGGAGTGTGAACAGTGGAAGCAGAAGTGGCTAAGCATATGACAATGTGAGTCAAGCTAACTTGTAATAAGTACCAGAATGATTGCTGTACATTGAAGAAGGATATTTAAAAAAATAAACAAACCCCACTGGAGTGTCAGGTTAATGCACTCAAATGTTAGCACAGCATAACATAACAACAAGCTCTACTTCACCTCCAGAGATGGTAATTATGACGCTTCAGGAATCCAGTTGCTTTAGAGATTAGTGTGAGCACTATAAAGTTATTACAAGGGAGCACAGCCTAGCAATCATGATTCTCTCCATATTGTAGAGAGTTTAAAGAAAGTCTGGAGAAAGAGCTCAAATAACTAGACATGAAAGAAAATTGGTTATTTAGAGGAAACGAAGGACTGTGACATAAATCAAGTAGAAACAAAGTTATCCCTGGATGATGAATAGAGAACAAAATAAAGCAATGCCAGTTCAGATTGCAAGCTCAACCCAAAGAAGCACATTGCTGTAAATACAGTAAGTGAATCGTCCTCATTCATAATATCCATTGGGTATCTCCTCAGATTGGAAACAGGCACACTGAAGATATGCAGCTGCATTAGCAAAAGCAAGACTCATTGTTATTAATGAGTCAGAGATAGGAGAAGGCTGCTAAAAGTAGAGAAATCACTTGACTCTAGGAAGAGGAAGCAAATCAAAACAATCAATGAAAATCAATTTCCAAGGATGCATTCCATCCGCAAATACCACTAAGAAAGTTCTGTACCAGCTGCATCTCCAACAGTCAACAATGGGATGAATCATACTGCTGTTGCATTTTCCATCCTTTGGGCACAATACAAAGAGAGTGAGAACCTGTGGCTGTAAATGAACAAAGTTCATAAAATAGAAACAGAACGATTCACTCCTAACCCAGTAATTTTTCATAAGAATGGCCATAATCTGAATTGGTATAAAGTTTTGAATAAGTCATATGTAATTTCATAATTCTATTTTCACATACAGAGCAAAAATTGTAACATTGAGCAATAAAGAAAAGAGCAGTAGGGGTTTAAGAATAAACTGTTTTTTTTCAATGTACAAAGCTAGCATTGCCAGTAAACATCCGTAATACCAATGGCTAAAAGAGACTGTATCTGAATGACTCTTCCTCCATCTGTTTTACACAGGTTTGATCCTAGGAAAATCTGTTTCCCGTGACTGTGGCTGAAAACAAATCTGTTTTATTTATACCTTCCTCTTCCAAAAAGTAGGCAATTCACAAGTTCCATATCTGCATGAAAAACAAACTGTACATAATTGTTCAACAAAAGTTATAGAAAAATCACGTAATCTTGTCCATTAGGAATAGTTCCAAACTAAATAGTACACACACTTCTCCCCTGAATTAAGAATGTAACTAAGCCCTAGATTGAAGCTGTATTGGGTTTTGCCTTATAGTAATTAAATATGCTTTACCTTTTTAAGCTTTATTCTATAAATTCTTAGGCATTTGGGAAAAAATGCAAAACATTACAGCTCACAGCAATTCTCCCATAAGCACAAACACTGCAGTATAGACATCTTCTCAAACACCAAAGAAAAAAAAACCAAACCCAGATACTAATCCAGAACCTGTCTGCAGAGAGCTCCATCTTGTGGTAAAACAGAACCTTCCCTACTTAAAACACACAGTTGATTTTTCTGTAGCTCAGGGCTGTTTCAGATCCACTCTGAGTACATTCAGGGTTTATGGGCCATCTGCTCAGTGCAAAGAAAAAAAACCTGCACCAAAATCTCCTGGCTGATACGACAGAGAGAATATAGGATATGCTGAATCTGATAGAGGGGTTAAGTACTGAAACACAACAGAGTTAGGTGGTAAACTAAAAGCTCCACAATGTGCGTGTAGTGCTGTGCTCAAGTGGTTTAAGTGCCTCCTGAGAACGACATACTTTGGTAAATATTGTCTTTGGGAATAAGCCTGACTGCTCTAAACCTCTGAGAATACATATATCTCTATCAGGAACGTTACTCCTGTCAAAAGTTCTTCCTGAACTTTTCAAACTTCCTATTTATTCTGCTTATTTATTCTATTAGAGAGAGAGACTGAAACCTCAGAAAAGGCACATATCCTTCTGACAGGATTTCCTTAGCTTTCTTTTGGCTCAGGTCTCCTTCTCACATAATCACGGAGTACAGATGTAAAAAGACTTCTGACGTATTTAATATGGCTTCAACATGATGACTTCATCCCCAAACTGAAATTCTGGCATTTCAACAGCACAGACAGCAAATGCTGATCAAGTAAAAAAATCTGTGACATACTCATGCTATTTGAAAAAAAAATATATTTAAATATGCATCCATATCTTAGTTCTAAGAGTAACACAATTTATTGTTTTTCTATACAATGATAACCTCCTTCTATAAGCATATATAGTAACCCTTCTTAAAACAACTCAAATGTAAGACATTCATGATGTTTTTGTGATTTTTAGGCATCTATTTGAAAAGATCTCCATTATTTATGTCTAAAAATGAAGTACAGGAGGCTGATCCTGTAATGTTATGTACACACTCTCTGTTGAAAGCAAAGCAACCCATCAGTGCACCTAGCAAACTCAAGTACTGGAAGATCAGTTTGTGCACCCAAGATTAACACTCAATTACATACATGCCAAAATTTAATTAAGTAGTCCTTTTAATTCCAAAATAAGAACAGTCACAACAGTTCAACTTGAAGAATGTTAAGTGCTTGAATGGCTTGTTTTGCTTTGTTGCTTTTTCTTTTTTGTTGAAGGGAAACATGTACCTGAAAGGCAGCAATTTAAAACAACAAACTAACAAACAACAGACTTCAGACAGTTTTAAAATATACTACAGTTTCAAAGAATAAAAAACATGCTGAGGTTAATAAAAATTTGTGCTGAAGAAGATAACCCTCCTAGATGGCGTTACCATAGCCTTGTCCTGTAACTTCTTTACCATTCCAAAAATGCTGAAGAGTCTCCATTCAAGTGGTATACAAATCTCAATCTATTTCTGGCTATTAGCTAAATCTGCAATTCAGGAATTTATAATCAATCCTCTGTCAAGTTACTGAGCCCACACAAAATATGTAGTTCCAACAAACCGAATACAGATCATAAACTGCATGCATATTAATTTCTTCTGAAACATTCAGTGCCATCATTAGGATACAATCTGTATATGGTGGTAAGGAAGTTACTTGACATGTCAATTAATAGTACATTTCTCAACAGTGGGACAAAAAAAAATAGGGACTGTAACTTTCATAACGTTTCTTATTTAGTCACACTAATTTCTGACTCTATCACTCCACAAGATGCAACTGATATTCTGTTCTGAATATGTTTACTTTGGCTACAAGACATTTTTGGCACTACCAGGAATTTCTTCTCTCTGGACACTCGACTTTGTTTTCTTCTCAAATTCACCCAGAGCAGCTCTCTACATGGTAACAACATCACAAGAGGAACAGGACCTCACAGTACTCCACCAGAGAAGACAAAAGGGTAAGATATAACCTTCACAGCATACACACAAACAGAGCAGATGACTACCCAAAAGGCTAAGATGATTTACAACTGCTAGAAATGGTCCTGATAGGCAGTTTATTTCCGAAGATATTTTGTTTCTAGGTTAGTAGAGCTGTAGCTCTGCAGTGACTCCTTCTGTGGTCTTCCAACAGCATCTGTAGAAATTTCTTTCTGCCATCCATGAATCACTTACATCTGATTTTTCCACAACGGATCTATCTTGCATCATAAGCAATCAAGCACTGTATGCAAGAAATTTATCTCATTCCCTTTTTGTTTTATTTTACTTCCAATTCTCTCTCACATTCTGTACACCACAGCCTAGAATGGCTCCTGGAACCAGGCAAGCAATGAGGTGCTGACTAGTGGCTCTGACAGCCTTCTGGGGTACCACACACACGTCCACACAGACCCCTGCCTGCACTGCAATTCTTAACAAGAAACCTAGGATAGTTACATAGGATAGATAGATAGGATAGGCACAAAGAATGCTGAGGAGACTTTTCAAGAGAGTGGCTGCTCAATATTAAAATACAAAATCAAGCCACAAGCTAGGAATACATCTTTCTGCTTCCATAAATTATTCTTCAGTGGACAGCTAGTGGATTCAGAAGAGCACTGCCACATTAATAAGTGCCTGCTCTCAAAACATCCAGTGTATCTTGTATGCCACCTGACAAGTTGCTTCAACGAAAAGCAGACACAGCAGTATCCTTACTTCATCTGAGCAATGAAATAGGTAACGTGGTAGCTTATGGATACTCTGAAATCCTAAGCAGCCAGGCAATGTGGATGAAGGAAAAAGAACAGGAAATAAGTTTTCAGTCAATTTGTTTGTCCTAGACAAAAGTTGATCATTTTGACCAACCTCTGTGAAGTATCAAAATTACTCAGCAAACAATCCAAATAAGATTACAAGCATAACTTCAAAGATTTTATTCACAAATTATAATGTAGGGAATATGCCTAAATGTCTGAGATAACTAAAGTCTTCCAGGAAAAATCAGCAGTCGCCAGGGAATGCCTGTTCTACAGTGACTGGCACTGAAACCGTAACCAAGAAAGGAAATGGAGATGAACACAACTCTTTCTCTGCCAATGTGTGACTATAACACAGGCCTGAATTCATATTTGTCCTCCAAATAAACAACTTTTCCAAATCCTTACACAGACGTTTTTCTCATCTGTTCTTAAAAGAATAAAAAGCTGTTATCTATACCCCTCTCTATATAGAGACCATGACAATAAAGTTTCACAACCTCTGACATGTTCCTGTGTTGGTTGCTTTTGTTATTGGAAGATTCTTTGCCCAAACAGACTTTCTGTTATTTTATCTCCAGTACATGGAAAAACTGCTTGTTCCCTTCCTCCCTGTAGCAACACATTTTAAAATAAATCATATCTTTTCTTGAATATTTTCTTCTGTAGACCAAAAAGAAGTTCAATTACTTTGGTCTTTGATTATTTCAGTCCATGTTCCCTAGATCTTGTGCTTTTCCTGCTGTTATTATTTGGACTCTTCGAAAAGTAAATACCTGGACAAAACTGTACACATCTGTGGAGGCACTATTTATATCCATATTAATATAAAAAATTAAAAACTCTGTTATACCAGAACAATTTCATAGAATAAAGCCAATTTTTGCAAATGGAAAGGGAAGCTGAAGGGTTTGGATGAGGTTTAGCCTTATTACAACTGACTGATATGTTCTGTGGTTGACAACACTGAACTGCCCCATTAACGAGAGCAATGGATATTCAACCCTTAAAAACAAACAAATAAACAAACAAAAAACCAGAAATATTGCTGTCTAGCCCTGAGAAATCATTTGATCTTTCAAAGATCAGTCAAATAATAAATTATTATTTATTCTAAAAAAAGAAAAAAGAGGGTGAAGGAAGCATCCTTCTTTAAAGTAGCTACGAATTAACAAGTCTGAAGGGAGTTCTGGTAATTTTCTAGTTCAGGACTAAGTAAAGTTCTTTACCAGTGGAAATCTTAAAGACCGAGCAATCTCATGAAGCTTATTAAATCAAAAACAAACCAACAAAGAAAGAAATCATGCACACTCACAACACATCTATACTCTGAGAACTTGTAACTTCATAGAATAATGGACTGAAAACGTCCATTCAGAGCATCTAATAATCCATGTTGTTCTGAATCATTTCAAAACGCCTTTATGTGGTATAAATATGAAGGATAGAAGTCAAGAATAGTGTGATGGGCAGGAAGTGAGGAAAACATCATTTTTGGCACCAAAACATCCTGTTAGTTATTTATCTCAATTTAAGTTTTATCCCAAAGAAAATTTAAAACCAGATACCTGTATCTGAGGTAAATGAATTAAACTCGCAAGAATTTCCTTGCTTGATTTCAAGGCACTTCCATTTGTTTCAGCAAGGGCAATTCAGATGCACCTTTTGTCATCATTTCATCTTTTTTGTTTTTCCTCCCCAAATATAAAATCTGAAGTATGGAATCACCCTTTATGAATAGTTGGGAAAATATCTACACTGTAAGCATACAAAATGCATATTGTCTATACATAATACACACTGAAGTGAGCGTGCACTCAGTACACATACAAGTCCCACACGTGCCACACAGAGATTTGTGAATAAATCATTTTCTTTTAGCAGCCTTCTCTTATCAAAATAATGTAAAATATTGACCATGGATTCTGTTACTGAAAAAAAGTGTCAAACTAAAAGATTATTTAAGAAAGGACTGTTGAGCCAATGTTAGAATGGTTACGTTCTAACCACCGCACACATTACCGTGCAGATGCTACACACAAAGCGATATTATGGATGCTGTTCTGGAGAGATGTGAGAATGGCCCAGTAATCAAAATCCTGTAAAGATGTCAGTTTTACTGGACTTAATGAGTTTCCCTCACCAGACCCCTCATCATCGTCAGCCGCGGACTCCGGCACCTCCTCTGTGAAAGCCTGAGACTGGCGGGGGTTATTCTTGTTGTCTGAAACAGTCACTTGTGCTTGTGACCTCTCACCTGAGGTCTCTGTGTGCTGAACTGGCGTCGAGGTAGTTAGGCCCTTGTAAGAAATGTCACCTGTCTCATCTTCCTCATAGTCATTAAGGCAGTACACTTCATCCAGGTCGAGGTCCAGGGTCCTGAAGCCCTTAGTGACAACCCCGGGCCTCGGGTCCAGGATCCCACCCAAGTGAGGCTGAGCCAGCTGCTGCCAGTGGTGCAAAGTGGCAGAACCTTGAAAGGGAACAAAAAGACAACCACAAATAAATCAGTAACCAATCCAGAATCCAAAAGGCCAAAAATCTCACTTGGTTTATCCAGAAGTCCAAACCTCAGACTCACTAATAGTTTGGAGTTTCCAAGAACCAGTCTTAATACTTCTAGAAAGACATGCTACAAGGCAAAGCTGCTTCAGCATTTCCAGATCAGTAGGAAATAAACTGATCACATCAGCACTTAGGCAAAGCCTGGTGGCAGAACGTGGCATACTTGTGCACATGCACATCTCCTCCCCATCATTATTCTCATCTCCTTAAATTCACAGGGTTAAGCAGGAATAGAAAAAATTATATTTAAGAGTTGAACTGAAAGCTTTAAGAACAGAAACCACATACTCCCGCATTAAGCTCACACTAAGAAAGGTGCTAGAAACATGCTAGTATTTACTACTGGTCGCTGACAGGAGGACACAGCAAAGTCAGCATTCTAATGTGTTAGAAAGCCACAACAACTCCAAGCACGTGTAAGCAAGTAAGACTTCTGGGCTATACGTCCAGTCCAAATACTCAGATGGAGCCTATCAGGGCCTCTACACTACACACAGTCGGCTACTACGTAACTAAATGCTACCATACCTGCAGCTTCATCCTTGGCAGAAAAAATGTTTTGAGTGCATTTTCCAGAGAAAAGCATTCAACATACAGTGTTCAACACGAGACAATGAGTCACAAATAGCAACACGTCAGATTAAACTGATATACCAAGATGCGCCCGCTGAAATCAGGGAAGGCCTTGGTTGACTCCTCAAACACCAGCTAAACATCACTTACAAGAGCCAACATTTTCCCATATGCGCCTATTAGTCACAACTGTGTAACATGTAGCTTAAAACTATTCTTTCCAGGTCTTATTAACAAGGCTTCTTCATTTTCATCTCTGTCAGCTCAAATCAGAGTGCTTTTTGTGGTGTTGCTCCTGCCTTCTCTCCCCAAAACAGAACAGTGACTCAATTCAATAAACAGACATACAATGTCTCGCCACCATTAAAAGACTAAGGATGTTCAGTTTGTTGCATGGTATATCTAAAACCCTAACACACTTAAATAACCAGGGGAGGAACATTATTTTGCATTTGAAAGAAGAATCCCATTGATTGCAAATAATTTCTCAAAAAGCGTATTGCATTGCAGGAAGCTTATTGTAAAGAGGAAATAAACTGAGAAAATATCTTCCCTTGCAATAGCTGAGCTCAGTGGGTAATGCTGCAATGATGTCTATCTACGTCACTTTTTAAAACCTGTAATTTTTAGTTCAACGTGAAAAGATTCCACAGTACAGAATAATTGGATCTGCTGGGCTACTTTGGATTATGGTCCTGTTTATTTTAAGCAAGTTTTGAGAGACTATGGAGGATTCAGACTGATTGGTACCCTTAAGGCTTGAGAGACACAGATCCTTACTGTGCCAGAATAAATAACAGTAAAAAAAACCACATTCCTCTAATTTGTTCTTATTTCTGAATTGTCAGAAAGGTCAAGTTCTTTCCTTCACACTGCCCTTTAACAAATATGCCAGAAATCAGCATTTCTGTCTGTACTGCATGTAAGTGTAAAATCCTGTTGCCAATGAACTTCTACCAACAAGCTTCTGAAGATGTAACCTTTTTCACTTCATGTGTCACAAAAACTGAGAGAAACTCTGCAGAATAAATGTACCAGGTTAATATTTTATATCTTTCCTGAGGAAATATATTCAGCAGAATAACTGTATTTCGAGTTTTAACACTTCTTATGATGCTACATGTTATCAATTTCTTTTGGAAAGGAGGACATCAGCATTTCTATGCACCTCTATTACTTTAACGTCAATCTCATACTATGTGTGTAAGCGAGCTTTAACTTTTCCACAGAGAAAATTAACACAAATGCAAAAAGCAATTAATAGTTGTGAACATTCATTTGTAAACTGACTTAAAGAAATACAAAAAAAGCCAAATGAAGGGAGGAGTCCTTGTCCTATATTCAATCCCAGACTCCCACTAGACAGTTTCCTAAGTTACATTAGCTTTCTTATAGTCCACAGGGAGTGATATTTTGTGCCTAAGGTACAAGAAGCTACAAATACAGTTGTTTAGTTAAAAACAAAAAAACAAAAAAAAACCAAAAACCAACCTCACCAGAGTGTAACTAAAGCAAGTCAATTTGAGCAGACATTCTATTCTGTTCTTAAAAGATGCAAAGAAAAAATAATTCACTCCTTTGGGCCTCTGTCACACAATTTATTTTACTGTGGGACTTGACTGCTTTAAAGGAGAAGGCACTAACCTGAATAATACAGAACCAACCTTTTCTTACCCCATTTTAGGGCATGAGCATCCTTAGGAAAACAAAACAAAATTACAACTACTGGTAGCAGTTTGCAGGTACTATTTTGCCACAGCAGAATGAAGTTCAAAAAACAAAACAAAACAAAACAGAATTAAACTTCATGAAAAACACACGGGAAAGAAACTGTGCTGAAGTGAGGAACAAAATAATAAACCTGTTTAATAAAAGACAACAAACAGTAAACCTATGAAACAGGCAGACACAAACATACCATAAGTGAGATGTAAAACCAAATGCTGGAAGTACTTCAGCAGATAATTTTTAGGAAAAAAATCACCCAGTGGGAATAATAAACAAAATTATTTAAACAAAATCCAACAAAACAGTCCAATAGAAAGATGATAAGGAATTAAAGAGTTTATTGGAAGAAAAAAAGCAGATATAATGGGATGGTGACAGAAATCTATTACAGCGGTAGCAAAAACAGTAACTTAAATGAAGCTGGATCATCCCCTTTCTCATGATGTAACATGCTTTTTATGACCACTGAAAAGCAATCATGTAAACAAACTACTACAATCTGCAAAACAGCATGGACTCGTGGCTATGGCTATCGTTTCATTTGAATAGGAAGATACAGCACATACTTTCTTCAGGACACAAAAAGGGTTGGATTTAGCTTCTGAGTATATGTTACGCTAAAGGCTTTTTATAGACAAAAAAAAAACTCTAAAAAGATGAACAAATGACACAGACAACATAATATAACAGAGAAATTCTGTCTGAGGGGAGGAAGGACCAAAACAGAAAGGAACCAAAGCTACACTGCGTAACTACTGTCATTTCTGCAGTGCTATAGGCTTTTGTTTAAAATCTGGAGGAATTTATTCAATTTGCACTGCCAGCAACAACCTGAGAGTTCTGAAGAAAACCAGTCTGACTATGCTATTCTTGTGTACCACCAGCTTTGTTAGGCAGATTACAGAACTGCACTTTGCTCTGAAATTAAGCTCTAGTGCTGACAACAATACGTAGAGAAAATTTGGCTAAAGAAACCCTATTTCACATGTGAAACCAAAGCCATAGAGACTCGTGTGGCCACTCAGTCAATAAAAGTGCAAAGGTCACTTTTAATCACAAAAGTAGTCCTATTAAACCAACTGGTCTATTCAAAGCAAAGGTCTTTGCAGACATCTACAGAAATGAGAGTGGATGAACTAACACTCTGTTACTCATTTTCAGATACACAAACACCTTCCTTTTCTAAGTATGAAACAGCAACACTGAGATTTAGCTCACATGTGAGGGTGGACTGCTTATGCATGTATAGCCTGTAATATTTTCTTCCCTTGGTTGGATTTGTTTCCTAACACTTTTAAGGCTTGTAGAAAAATGCAGCAGCTAAAAGATTTCAAACCAACAGCGTGGATTACTGTCCCTAAAGTAAAAAGAATATGTATTGCAAAGATTTCCTGCTTTCTGATAATGGATAAGAGACCACAAAGAGTCACTTAGAAGAACAGATAAAGGCCGAGGCCCTTTGTTATCACCTTCTAGTGGTTTCACAATCTGAAGCTTTTCTGGTAGGTAGGAGCGACTGCTGATAGACATTCCTGAATATCCAGTGAATTCTGAAAATCTGGAGTGAGTTCCCAGAGACATGATGCTTTCTGTGGGAGTAACGGAACCACTACGGAGTTCACCCTTTTCTGCCAGCTCCCGCAACTTCCTCTCCTGCTCCTCTTCAAAGAACTTCCGCTCCGAGAGGTAATTCTCCCGCCTAAGGGACAGCCTGCGAAGGGCAGTCTCTAGGTCACTGGAGCCTGGTGTCCCTGGAGTTCCAGGCTTCTTCATTCTGTCTTCATTTCTAGAGCATAACGGGACAAGAGAAAAGAAAAAAAGAAAAAGGTAGGGGTGGGAAAAAGATTATTTGAGAAACTTACCATATTCACGTGACAGTTTTGAGACATTCAAACTTCACACTACTGTGCTTAGAAACAACTCGCCACACTTCAAGTGAGCTGCTCGAAGGCAAATGCCAATATTTTCTCTCTTTTACCATCAAAACCATTTTGAATCCTAGTTCCTGGCTGGAAAAGCTGTGCTTTAACTAAGAACTTCCTCTTACTAAGAACTGAGAGATGTTTACTAGTCTCTCTCTTATGATCACATAAACTCAAGTGAGAAGGCCAAGTCTTTTAGGGACAGTGCTGCAAGAATAAATCAGTAAGTCACACAAGCATACAGTGATGATAAACATTCATTGCTTGTTTTGAGACGTTAAGTAGTTTTTTTCTATGACGTATATGAAGCGTAAGCTGGAGCTACACTGAGGGAAGAGACAAGTAGCTGGAAAGTAAAATCCTAACTTCACTGACTGGTTTACTGCATAAGTTTTCATAGTAGGTTTTTAACATCTTCCTATACATTCACCACTTTAAGATCCAAAGTTGGATGCAGCTGCATCATCTAAGGCTGGAATTCTATAGCATGAATGTATGACTGTGAAAATGTACATAAATATAAGTATTGATCCATGTAAAACCACATATTCTCTTTGTGTCACCTAGACATATCTCCAAAGAGGTGCAAACTGCAGAAACTGATACACAGTGCTTTGAAAAAGCATGAGTGCTGAAGAACTAAAAGCACAAAAAGTAACATTTGAAGATAGTTGCACAATATTAGATGAAAAGAGGAAAATAGAATCTCCTTGCCTCTATGCCAGAAGTAAGAACAAAAACAAAACAAACCCACAAAGCTAAGTGCTACAGTACTGACCCATTCTCAGAGTCTGTCTCTAGGATGATGCTGTTGGTCTTGTTGTCTATCACAATGTTAGAGATGTCTCCCCCATAGAAACTGGAACGTGGAGTGCTGACACAGCTGGAAATGAGCGAGTTCATCGCAGAAGACTGGTTGGAGCCTGGGATATTCATTGGTGATGGAGTCATAGATCTTTGCTTGACAACTTGGTTTACATTTCTCACTGTCTCGAAGACCCGCTTCTGATGGCTGGTAAGACATACACACAAAGTTAACAATCACTTAATACTTTAAAAAGAACGAGATCTACAGGTAACAATTTGTCAATGACCCTACCACAGCTCCACTAACTACTTTTCCTTTATAGTGTCTGTAAAAGAGTACGTGTAGGGGCCCATCTTCATTACAGTCTGGCCACTACATGCAATCCATCAACATAACACATCGTGCTAGAATATTTTAGGCAGATTGCTGGAGAATCACGTGTATGGATATCCTCAAATATTAGCACAAAGTAAGTGAAAGAGCATTTTAGTACGTTTCCTAAAAAAGCTTGAAGCCACTGTGTGGAAATAAGTTTTTAAAAAACAAAACTAACACCTATTGAATTCTTAACTATGAGCTGGATAATCTATTTCTAAAGGGAATCTGGATTTATTCTGCGACAAACAAGTCTTGCATCTTTCCATTCTGTAAGGAATTTCCCACCTCCTTAAGCAGCATTAAAAAAACAGATCAGAAATACAACACAGCAAGAACTAGATGCTGTCAAGGCTGAAAATATAACTTCTGACCTACTTATAGAATTTTTTCTTTATCACCACCGTCCTGATATCACAAACTGTTATCTGCTTCAAGATAAAGATCAGATGACACTTCAGCAGACAAAATGAATTTTCTCTGTATCCTTGTGCAGCAGTACCACTGCTTTGTTTTACGTTTCAACAATGGCTGAACAACAGATCAGCCCATCTCTTCCAGCTTAGAGGTAACACTGCAGTGGTATAACAATGACATCACGCCTTTCACTATTCAATGTCATTCAAATTTCTCTCCTGTCCATGAGTGCTCAACAGGTGCATCCTTCTTGTGCAGGCTCCAAGTCTACAGCTGTTTGTCTGCAAGAGGGTGAAGCTAAGAGCATCTATCAATAAAATGTCCCACAGAGTTTTCACTGCTGAGCAAATAAATGAAACCCTCGAAAGCTATTAAAGCTAACAGAGGTTCTTTGGTGAATCCATAGCAATATAAAAGAATTCCTGAAGAAACTATTCTGAAGTTAGATTAGTCTGGAAGGACAAAAGAATCTCATTGAGCTTGAGCACGCTCACATCTTTTCCACCTTACACTTTTCTAACCAACACTTCCCTGTCAAAGCCTCATTTATAGTTCTTGATACTCTTTCTCTGAAAAGATTAAGTATATGTCAGACTGTCTGTAAATACACTTGGAAGGTTTCCTGGAAGTGGCTAGTCCTTTCTTTGTAAAATGACAGGTCAAAAAAGGTATAAGCTTCAAAAGACCCCCTTAATTAGGATTAAATTGTTTCAAATTAACCAGTCCATGCTTTGTTCCATTAGGTGAGATAAACCTGTTGGAGTACACCTTCAACTGACGTCAATAAAGCCTTTTCTGACAAGCCGTAGCTAACTTTAGCTTTTGGACCTTAGTAAGTACTTAACTTGTTTCAAACCACTCCTGATTAATTCAAGAGAGCATTAGCAAAATGTGAGCTAACTAATTTACACAGGTGTAATTGGCATCAGACTGTAAGTACGCAACCACTCCAAATCCCTGTCTACACTGATGTTCTCTCTCTAGAAATCGGATTAGATCTGTAATTACTTTGTACCTTCTGCTCTAACACCCGAAAAGAGAACTTAAGGAACTGAACTCAACCCCTGAACATTAAATGACAAAACCCAGCATGGTAACACACAAGAAAACCCATCATTTTCATTCTCAGAACCACAGCAGTGGTTATATATATTTTTATATATATATATATATATATATTTTTATACTCAAGAATGAGTATAAAAATTTCATGAGGCAAGGAAAATCCTCTATTTGGAGGTTTTCTTATGGAAGCTTAACAAAAAAAAACCACATAACCATCCCAATAACCAGATGATTTGTTTTTCTTTCCCTCTGTCACTGATGCTTTTCCAGAAATATTTAGTTCTAAACCTCCAGCTCAATTACATCCTGTCTTTTCCTTTCTTAACAAAAACTAGTTAGCTCCAGATATAAACAATCAATTAGGAATCAGTTCTTTTCAGTCATACGCCAAGTCAGGAGAGTCAGGTTCATCTAGATGCAGCTCCTTCCTCATTGACCCTTCTATCTCTGCTGCCAAAGAATCCTGGTAAAGACAAGTACAAAAGTAGAATAAATGTCTTAGCATTAACAGGTTGTCACTGCAGAAAACAATTGATTAGTTCTGTAAAATACCTAACAAATAGTGAACTGCCATTCCAGAAAAAAAAATTAGCTTTAAAAATGAAAATAGACTGGAAAGCTAGAAGACTAATGAATATACTCAAGTAGGTGACAAGTTACAGCTTAGCTTCATACTGCTACCGTGGTCACCATCTGAGGAGACATGATAAAACCTGACAAAAATTCTGAAAAAACAGCACAGGCAACAACAGATTCCATGCCATCCAGCTTTTAAGAATAAATTCCCTTCGCAATGACACCTTCCCTTCATGTAAAATGTTTTGCTTAACTTCTTTTTGCTTAAAACCACCGGAAAATATTCTTTCCTCTTACAGCATTACCCACTGATCCACAAAAAAGAGTCCCTGAAATGAAATATTAACAGATTTCCCCCATAGGGTTGAAGTTTCTCAGGTTCTCAGTTCTCCACCTCTGGTCAGTATGCATTACTGCCTAAAAGTAGTGAAGTACAGGGTCTAAATGCCAGGTACCCTGAATCAGCACTTGAAAACATCTTTATACAAAACACACAAATATATCTGAGCACAAGCATATTTTTCTCAGCTTTCAACTGTATTTGTGCAGACACAACCTACAATATTAAAGGTCTGCACTTTAAATTGGCCTATCTTCTACCTCAGAAGGGACAGTGAAAAAACAAGGCATTTTTCTGCTTGTGAGCATAATCCAACCTATTTGTGCTCTTTCTCAGCAGTTAAGATGAGGCATGGCTAAAAACAAGGAGGACAGACTAGATTCTGTTTTTTAATTACATTAGGGAAACCTCAAAAGAAATTTCATTGGTACCAATGCCTTGAGAAGTAATGAAACCATTTTAGAGATACATAGGCAAATAAAACCAGGCAGTGAACGTTCCTAGATGTTATTATCCACTCTCTCATTTGGTTAAGGGTACTGCATATTCTCCTCCCTTTAAACGTACAATATGCAATTAATTAAATAATGTTGATAAAACCAGTGAGATCTCCATAACTGGCACTGTCATAACACACATTAACAACTATTCCTTTAATGAATTTTCAGTATCACTAAAAGAAGATTGTCTATGTAGCATATACAATTACTGAAGAACTAGAGGGTACAGCATAAGTGATGAGAAGGATACCCCACATTCACGAGCCATCAGTTATGTTATCAAGAAGCTACATCTCCAAGGATATATAAGAAAACCAGGAAGCTCCTATTGAAAACCAGGCCCCACCATACACAAGTTGCATACTGTTAAACAATATATTAATGCTACCCATGACTTATAGCCCAGCCAGCTTAAGGTTTCGTATAATACCACAGCAAAAAGCATGCAGAATCAAGCACTCAGGTATCCTGTAACACTGCGTATACATATTTCACCCTTGCTCCTGTCTGCATCTCATCCTTGGGGCAGTAATTCAGACATAAACATTCACATTTATTTGGCTGTTTTCTGAATTTGTTTTTTCCTTGCATCTGCTTACCATAGGGAAGAGGCCGAGGGAGTGGTACCGACGTGAAACAGCATTTGGCATAGTCTTGTTCCTAAGGTTTTTCAGCTCTTCTTGAGCCTCATGAAGCATTTCCATGCACTCTGCATACTTGTCTTCCAGCTCACGCAACTACAACATAGAGAAAACAGTCTAAGACCTTGTGATCTGCACTATAGTCATGAAAAGACCATAAAATACTGTAACAATAGTAAGAATAACGGTTCAAGGAAGAATATCCCACTATAAAGGAAAATAAGTCCGAAGGGTGAACTTACTATCACTAAAAAACATGAACTACATTGATTAGTAACAGAAGGGGAATATGTAAAGTTTTAGGCTGATGATTAACAAAGGAGAAGGAATTTGTGGCTCCAATTCTTATCCTTTCTATCTAGATGAAGTCATTGTCAAAGAGAAGATACGGAACTAAACGTGTGTTTAGCCCAATCATCTGCAGCAGTTCTTATTTGCCTGACTATCATCATGATGACCACAGTGGCAAACAGCACGAAAAAAGAGCAAGATATTGCACAGCGTCCCAGAAGATCAAATGATTTTTAAACCAAGACTTACATATATATTTATATAACTTCCAACAGCCTAACACCATGCCTTATGTATAGCTTGACCTTCTCAGAAAACACACCACATGCAATCACTGTGTGCAGTTATACAGTTCACCAGCCACTTCAACAAAGTTGGGCAAAGAGGCAGAAGCCTGAAATAGTGCAGTCCTACAAGTTTCATAAAAATAAGCTACTTCATTCATATGCACATATATATGAAACATTCTGATTCAGCTTACATTAAAACTCCCATGTTAAAGCAAACACCCACTGCCCTGCTACTAAGCTATTTTAATACTGAGCAGTGTACTTGCCTCTGCTGTGAGCTGTCTCTGGGCATCTTTAGCTGCTCCCAAATGCTGAACAAGTTCTTCATTTTCAACTGCACACTAAAATATAGCAAGAAACATTATTGCAGGTCAAAACACCTCAGTAGTTCTAATGTTTACATCATATACTACAAGTAAATGGGAACTCTTTTTGTAAGACTCTCTTTGCAACAATATTAGCCCATAACTCTTAGTTAAAAAACATTTACACAACATTACAAAATGTTAACATAAGTGTACCCAGCATAAGCTAATACTCTGCAAAATGAATCCCCCAAGACCTCAGTACTAATGACTACCTGCTCACTGAGATACTTGTACTGATACTCTTGCTTTACTGAAGTTCAGTGCAGAATTTTATTTAACACTGAAAATAAATGTACTTACTGTATTTGGTATTTAACATATGCATTTTTAACATTCACATGCTTTCTAGTCAAGAATGATATATACTAAATATCAAACAATGACATCCAGATAAGGAGGTTCAAAATCCCCTTCAGGCTCCAGCACTTTTAAGTTGCAACTTATCTTCCAGTTAACAACGGTAGCAATCACAGCATTGATCCAGTAACTGGATTCCTTACAGCTTTTGCCTTTTTCTGCAGATCGACAATCTGGGAGAGCAGATGGGTGATTTCTTCCTGCTGCCGGGCAGCATCTTCAGTTTTCTTTGCTAACTCTTCGGAGATACTGGCTATCTGTATGTTTGCATCCCCTTTAAGATAAGTGATTACAATCACCATTACAACATGCAAAGGCAGAAAAGTAAGAAGAAAGATGTTCTTTCAGAATGTCACTTGATTCGACAGAATCCTTCCCCAGAATACAGTAACACTTTTGGAAAAAATGGTAGGACAGAAAACCAGAAAGACACAAAGTGCTCATGTTGCATAGCAGACTGTCCTTCCTCCAGCACAACAATTTCTATGCAAAACTGTTTTGCACCTGAGAAACATTTTATTTACAGCAGAAAATTCTGGCTGTAATAAGCCAGCTGAAATTTTCTTCCCACAGCCATCTATATAATGACAATAAGAGCTGCAGGAATAAATGACTGACTGATCTGATGATGTGGTTGGGGTTTTTTTTTTCCCTTTTTTGAAAAACCAAACAACCTGACATAAGATCTAAAAAAAAGAAAAAAAAAAAAGAAAAAAAAAAGAAAAAGACATACTTAGCTCTTTTACGCAGTCATTGACAAGCTGTTGTTCTTTCTCTTCATAAGTGATTGTTTCAGTCTTCAGTTGACAGGCCTATTCAAGAAATATGCTACGTTAGCATGTTTGTTCTCTACCAGCATGCTATTGCATTTCCATCTGCTTCAGAAAGATAAGCTTTCCTAATCACTCCACTAACACTGAAAAAAATAACAGTATTTGCCTGTCCTCCTTTATGTTCTGGATAAAGGGGCCAGGTGAACATTCTGCAGAGATGCTACTGCATAAAGTTGCACCAGTATCCCCTCATCTCCACAAGATGTCACCTGTGCACTTTATATTTAAAAAATAAAAAGCCCTAAGAATACAAAAGCCACATATGCAAAGCTTTCATCTGGTTACCTTAACAAAGGTAGCTTCCTGATGAAATGCACAATTTAAATACTTGAAATTAAAAAGAAAACCATCAGACCATACTTGAAAATTCCTAACACTGTAGTTGTATATTCCACATAAAACCTTAGTGTTGCCTCCTTTCTTGATTTGCCTTTTCCCCTCCAGCCAGCTGGCTCTGTCTGGCACCACCCTGATGAGCCTGTAATGTACACCCAATGCATAGACACACAGAAGGCCCTGTGCAGAGGCTTTGGATCTGGCTGCACACTGCCTCACTGGCACAGACTGCTTTTCTTTATAAGGGAAGTTACTCTATAACAGGGCTCTCCTATTACATCCTGAAGCAGTGGTCCTCTCAATCCTCAGCCTACCTTTACTGTATCTACAGCTCATCTTGCTTATGGGACATCTCAATGCAGCACTCTCTGATATGTGATGTCTTATCCAAAGGTGTGACACCTACCTATTTCCAATGGGTCCTATATTTGCAGTACAAAACAGGAAAGATACTATGTTTTCATACATTCATTCTTAGCCCAAAAGTATCTCATCTGCTATACTTTGCTACATGTTTGCAAAATGGTAATACGCTCCCAAAGTTTAAGGGTTGTATTAAAAAATTAATATAAAATTCTTGATTAGATATTCAATTAGGGAGTGTTATTTCTGATAAATAGGGATATCAATTCTATCACACTTAAAAGGCAAGAAAGCCACAATCTTAAAATATTAACAGCCTGATTTGAAAAACAGTTGAAGATATTTAATGCAAATTTTGCCTAGCAATTTATTGACAAACACTGAACTTTTTTTTAACAAAGAGACCAAGTCAGCCTGAAAACTTCAGATCTACTTCAGATCTACAGCAAAGGTCATCCACGGCTATTGAGTAAGTTCTTTAAGGCAGATTTCAAACCACAGTGCTATACTTGAGAACTTCCTTATACTTCAGAGTTAGTTACACAAAAACAAAGTCTAATACCCCACTAGTTATATGTTTTTGTTGCTCTTCTTTGATATGTTTTAATAAAGAACATTAAAAACTAAAATAAGTGTTGTTACTTATATAAATTAAGCATATTATTTATTTTATGAGGGCTACTCCTGTTTTATGACATTGCACCACGATGTCCACGAGGTGGATGTTGGTGGTACTGCAGTAAAAGGTGAACCTTTCCACCAATACCCCATTACATGTTGATGCCATGTGACAGATGGCAGCAAGAGGGGCAGTCTGAAGAAATGGTGTCTGACATGGAAGTGTGTCTGAATGTAAGAATGTATGAAAATTGCATTTGTATGAAATATGTATGAAAATGCAAAAGTATGAAAATTAATTCCTCCATGCAGAAAAAAAATGCACCCAGTGACATTCATTGACACTTGCTGAACGTTTTTGGAGACTGAACAGTGGATGTGAGCACAGTTAGTGGTGCATTTCACCAGTGGGTCACCTCTGCTGGTGTTACTGTTACAAGTGCAGCATGCAGGCTCTTGTTCATCACTGGTGAAAATGCATAGCTAACAGTGGTGACTATAGTGCAAAAAGTCTTTTGTAGCCAAGAATTTTCTATCAAATAGTATTACTGTGCTCTTTGTGCTGGTTGTAGTTTCCATGGAAATAGTTTGGAGGCACTACTTTAAGAGCAACTTTCCTAGACAGGGTCCTAGATAATTCCTCTTCACTCATTGCAGCCCAGGCAAGACAAAAGGTGAGACATCCATGCTGTACAGCCTAGCAGTTTCCTTCCCAGCAGAGTATGCTAGGTATGTAGCTTCATGGTGCTCCTATGTGTCAGTCTTTCCTTCATTTAGGAAGAATAGAGGACAGTGATTTACTACAGGGAGATCTTTGTCACTCACGGAATTACATACTCTTAATGAGATGCTTCCAAACCTTTCAATACACACTTCTCACTACCTGCATTCCAGCATTTAAATGAACGACTGTATTAAGTGAAACACAAAGTGTGCAGTTTCACCTCAGATCTAAGCACAACATTCTCTTCTTCAAGGTCCTTGAGCTTCTTCTGAAGAGAATCCAAGTGAAAGTAGTTCTGGACAGAGGAGGAAGATTCGTTCCTCTTCAGCCTTGATTTAAGAAAAGAAAAAAGAACAGCAAGTTTTAACTCATTTTTACCAGCATCATGGCCAACCTCACAAGAAAATAGGCTGAACAGAGGTCTCAAACAGCCACAGCCACATGAAATACACCAAAACTATGAGAAAAAAAACAACTTTACCACAGCAATTTAATAGCTCCACAATGAATGCTGCACATTTCACCAAAATGCAGCAAAACTTTGCAAGCAAGGGCAGACAGCTCCTCAAAGCCTGCAATGTTGTTCAGCCAACTAATTGCCTGGAACACACAGTGTAAGCCATGCTCAAATTCTTCCTTCTGCTACTGAAAACAGCATGGCATTTTTCACTGTGGCCTCAGGTTCCTCAAGCACAAAGGTCACAGATGTGGAACGTTCTAGAACAGTGTGCAAAAGGGATGTGGAGCAGCAGAGTACTGTAGGTGGAATGAATCAGTGTTGGCCTCATATCCACAGTGATACAGTTCCTGTGAAAGACACAGTGCTGTCTCAGCAGCCTTCTTATCTACTTTCCCCTCCTGACTTATTTGCACCAGTACAGCCAGCTAGTCCAATGCAAATCTTTCCAGCTGGCGCCATGCACTGAGTTCAGAATTCCATTTACAGGTCCAACCTATACAGGGATCATTGAACTACCATTCAAAGCTACGAAAGCTGTCTGAACTACGCCTGCTTAGTACCAAAGGTTTGGTGTTGCAGATTGATAACTTACGGGGTGGAACAGATGGACTCTGGCTCGCTTTCTTCAGCAGCACTGGTATAGAACTGGAGCAGCTCATCTTTCATGGAAAGCTCATGCCGTAACTGAGAAACCTGCACAAAGAAACAGCTTGCAGATCAATACCTTGCTTTTCTAGACACACTCTCAAGTAAATTCACAATCAATTAGTTATTCATCCTCCAAGCACCACCTTCAGACTAAATCAAGTGGCCTAAAATGGAACATACTGGAAACCATTCCTTTATTTATAGGAAAGAAAGGACATCCTTAGAATAGCTTTTCTTTTTTTTTTTTTTTTTTTTTTTTTTAATATACAAAAATGCAGCTAATAAGGAAGGGAAGATGAGCAATCCTGAATCACTAATGCATTAGTTCAGATCCACATTCAAAGAAATAAATTTACTGAAATGAAACAGCAAGAAACAAACGTGACACAATCAAACCAAGCAACGCTACTTTCCACTTTACGTAATGACTGTCACCATCTGGATCAGATATAGACCTTGCAGACTGTGGATAAAACTGTTACAGTGCTTATGCAGCAAGGTTCTTTTGGGACTCAGTTGCCTATTGAGTTGCACAACAACACAAAGTGGCAGGCGCCCTTCTGTGATGGCTTCCACCCAGTTTCTGGGTGTAGTTTGGCTCGCTGGTGACTCCAAAACATAAGCATAGCAGAACAGTATGAGGCAGTCTCATCCATGAAATTAAAATGAACAAAATTTAATTAAGTGGTTATTATTTCCTGTAATTCCACAAAGTTAACCTCAGTTAATTCATATTTTGATTTGGTTTAAAGGCTCAGTTATACAGGAACACTTTTGCAACTGTAAAGTTGCATTTTAAGACTCTAGTGTTAAGAGCTTCTTTCTTTTTCCCTTGCACAGGTATAAATAACACAAATGATCAGAAAGACGTCTCCTCCCTCTTTCCTTGCAAGATTTGGTCCTCAGTTTCCACTCTGCAGTGCACAAATTGCAAAGCACACTTGTTTTCACTGGACTTCTATTTTTGTATCGTAGACAGATTAATACTTTCAGTTATTAGTAGGAAAAAAAAAAAAAAAAAAAGTTTGTCAATAAAATAGATTTATGCTGCATTATTGTCAACAAAAAGCTGAAACAATGTAATAAAGCACTTAAACCATGCAGGAATTTAAGCTAACGTAATCATCTACTTGACAAAGGCTAGTCTGCAGAATTACACTCCATGAAAGGCACCAAAGTCCTCTTGAGACATGGCTTCTAAAAGGAGCTGCACATTTCTAAAAACACAAAACCACATTTCAGCCATGAAACAAATTCAGCGTGTTCATCTGGGGAGATTCATTTTCCTCCATTTCAGGGACAGTTAAAAGGCATTCTAAAGTAACAAATCTACCTCCTTCCAGCTCAGCCTCTTCAAGTAGCAAGGAATTAGATATTTTCAGTGGGTGGGCACTAGTTCATCTCTAGCTTTTTCTATACTCCTCCTGTATGAATCAAATCAACTGAACCCACTAATTTTGCTGCTATTTTCAAGCATTCCAGTTCTTCAAAAGAAGGCTAACAGCCAGAGAAAGTAACCTGTTAAAGGAGCAGGAGAAGAAGCAATGGGCACATCAGAACATCAGAACATCAGAAGCATTTCTTTACACTGTGGGAGGCAGAGCACTAGCACAGGCTGCCCACTTTGCTGCTGGAGCCTCCCTCCTGGGCACCCTGGTTACTGGTGCCATGACATAACACCAATAAAACCTAACTTCACACATCACTGTCTCTGTCTTACGAATACATACCTCTCAAACAAATCATTTTAAGTAGTTTCCATGGAATTTTAAAAGCTCCTATTCAATTCTCTTTTCCCTTGTTTGTAGAGACAGTTGTCTTAGTTACCGTTTTGTTCGTATATACAAAATTCAGCATTAATAGGAGATGTGAAATTACTAAAAGAAGATTTTTAACAAACAAATGCCATCAGTTTAAAGCACGAGCTCTCCCTCAAAAGCATCAATTTCTGAAGGAGTCGAAATGACAGTGTGAAAGATGGATGCTGATAAAACATATGGCCAAATATATCAAGCAAGCTGGTAAGAAGCTTATTTTTGGTTCTCCTTTTCCTAATGCTGCTCCTGAGTCCCTCTAAATAAAGTTAGTCCTGTCAGAGGAAGCCATTCCCTGATCCCACCTTCTTCAATCAAATCCTCCATTCTGGATGCATGGGGTATGAATGCCCTTCCCTACCTCACCCAGTAAAAGCCTATCAACCAACACATGAATAAATGTCTGCCATATTACAGGACTTGGACAAAATGAGATGACAGTGTGGGACAGAAGAGAATTCATTTTCCTCACCGTAAAGCATGGGCCACACTCAAAGATTCTAATTCCCTGTGGCACGCTCTACCACCATCATATATCCAGAATTTCTCCTTCCACACTTCATTCATCAGCATATTTTGGATATAACTCAACACCATATTTTCCTAACATTTTATTAACAGACACTTTTAAAACTTTTAATCCACTCTGTTTCGCTGTTCTACTGCTTGTCCTACAACTGTGGAATTTTGCTCCCTGTTGCTCATGGCTAAACACGAACAAGATTCACAAACTAAGATCACTGTTCCTGGACACAAGAAACATTTGCCTCTAGCACAGATAGTAAGACAGTAGAATTTGAACAGTGACAATGAATTATAGATAAAACATTTTTAAAACATCCTGTGTGGTTCCAATAAAGATTCATTCACTATCTGCCAGTACACAGAACATTCAACTCCTATGGTAAGAAACATCAACCGTATAAACATTTCCTTAGAAATACAACAATATGTGCAAGAGCCAAGCCATTACTTCAAACAACCAAAGTTTTCAGTTATGTTTCTATAGATCAGACTAATTCAGAAGTGCATGCACTCTGACATTAAATTTTAAACATGTTCAAAAATCTAAGGCAAGTGCAGTCAAAAATTCAAAGTTATGTACTGCAGCAGGCCAACAATACATGTTTCAACAGATTCTACCATAATTCCTGAAAAGAGAAACAGCAAAATGGTAAGAAGCTGTAAGATCTTCCCCATGTAGACAAGGTAGCAAGTTCCACCCTTTTCTTCCCAAAAAAACCCAACGCTTATAAACACTGATAAGTTCATATAGAGTGCACTGAATATAATGACCAATCACTGAAATACAACCTGACCTATTTATCTCCAAACTGGCCCAGTTTGAAGCTTGGAAAATGCAGAATGCACATCATTTCAGTGAATGTGCACTGCTGAAATCTCCACAAATAAAAAGACCAGTCATACTCCATTTGAGAAGGGAAGCACTGGCAGAACTCAAACGCTGTGGCCTTAATGTCAAAATTCAGTATAAATGGAAAATTGTTCATCAAAAAGGAATTAAACGTTCACTGGAGAGGAAAACAGAGGACAGAGAAAGATTCAGGAGTGACACAAGTAAAAGAGCGAGCTGCACACAAAGGAAATGAGATTAGTGAGGGGAATTACATATAAGGCATAGAGGAGAACAAGGACAAAATCAATAGAAGAAAACAGTGGATAAAGTGACTCAAAACCAAAAGAGCAGCTGAATTTAGAGGAAAATAAAATATGTGGCAAAATAAGTTTCAGAGTCCTGGGTGCTTTCTTCCCCCAGCCATCTGATTTGACCCAGTGGGTCAAGTATTTTTCTGGTCTAAAAGCATACTTGCTATAAAAATGGCTGACTGAACTGCTATAATACAGGTTGACCAGCTACAGATAGGATGCATGGGAAAATTAAGTAGGGACAAGGGAAAGACTAAAAAAAATATCTTCCCATCACTGCAGACACATCAGTCAGATAAAAAGAAAAAACATACCTCCTCCCTTATGTGTTCTACTTGCTCCTCAAGGAACTCATTTCTTTCTGTCAGTGATTTGTTCTTCTTTAAAAGTGACTGGCCAATCCGAGCAGCTAATTCTAAGTCCCGTTCTTTCTGTGAAGCATCAGGAAAAGAAAGCAAATATATTTTTGTTTTTGTTCTCTGAAGGAACAGAAGGAAGAAACAACTATTTAAGGCAGTAAAGAGCCTTTTTCACTTCTGTAAAGTTGTTTGTTTTTTTTTTTTGCTAACTTTTTTATCTATTACACAACACCAACATTATTCAGAAAAGACTGACACATACAGTATTGAACCATACACTGAAAGCACAGCTTTGAGGTCTAATGTCAGGCAATGCAAGTTAAACCAGATTTGGTTCTCTACTATGGCTCTGAGAGACTACTGACAGAAACATTCCACCACCTTGTCCCACATTTGCCCAAAATGGTTATTCTCATTCCATGTTTGCCCACTCATTACACATCTCTACAAGGGAACTGGAAACAACCCACCTGGACTCTACCAATACAAATACCATACAAATGTAGCAATACAAATTAGAGACCTATCGTGTTGATGACATGTACCTATACACTGGATTGTAATATGCCTAGAACAAGATGATAAATAACAGAAACCTGCATAGAAATGTTCATTGAGCATTTTCACTGATGATTTTCTTCTTCAATTACTATAACTCTAAAGTAGCAGGAAAATAGAATACTGGTCAACTCACCACTTACCTTTATTTCAACATTGTTTGAGGAACAGCTTTTTCCATTTCAGATATCTACTGAAAATACTACCTGAGGCTTAATTATTTCATCTGACAGGTATACAGATTACACGACTAAAACCCACCCTGTGACATGCATACATTCATGACAAAGTCTACAAAACCTAAAGCTGCTGTTGATGAGGACAGCTGACATGAAGTAAATGAATTTGAATGAAGAGGCTTTCATAGCACAGAAAAGGAAGTTTCATAATAATAGAAAAGATGGGTTATTGATCACTGCTGTATCAACAAATAGCATTTTTCAAATGATTTTTGAAGGTCAGTCTTCTATGTGCATTAAATTCACTGGTATTATCTAGTCTTAACAGATATCCAGATGGACCTGGTGTCACTCCCTTTTTGCTCACTTTCAAGGGCAACAGACACGGGTTTTCAGAATGCCTACATGCCCATATTGTTTTGATATCTTTTCTTTCCTGCCTGTCCCTCACTAAAATGCTGCACCTCCCACCCTGCCAACTTCATGATAAATTCTTTTGAAGATTGCCAATAAGAACAGGAAGACAGGGGAAGCTCTGGGGCTTGGTTTTCTCTTGTTTATGTCATGGCAGCAGAAAGAGTTAAACCTTAACTTCTGCCAACAAGTGCAGTCTCTTCTGATGATGATGACCATTTACAGAATAGGAAAAGGAGCTGCAAGTGTATACATCTGCCTAGAAAAGTGGTTAAAAAAGAAACAATCATCAACTAACACAAAAATCTCACTGAAAATACTTTCTTTTAATTTAAGGTTCAACTGTTGCATGTTCCTTCATATTCCCTTTGCTATTATCCAGACGGAAAAGTAAATCAAATGCTTCATAACGTTGGCTCAGCAAGTTCCCATGAGTTCCCTAGCATTGTTCCCATGAGTGTAACTTCTAGATCTATAGACTGTGTGGACTCCGGGGAGGAAACAATTTGGCAAAGGGCCGCATCACTGCTGGAAAAAGCCATGTAAACAAATGCAAGTAAATCCAAGGCAAATAAGAAGAAAGGAGCAGGACGCAGAAAGGTTACAGACTGTTAACAGACTGCTAACTTCTGTTACTTCTACTAACAGAAGTTACTAGAATAGTCCTGAACAAGGATTTTCAGAAAAATATCTGTTTTAACTGAAATTGTACTGAGATCAGAGTTATCAAATGCAGGTGGGAAATGGGAGCGTTCCTGTGCCTGTCCCCTTGCAGAACTGGAAGAACAGACCACAAACAGACCCCATTTTTGACATGGCAATTGCAGTAAGTAAGCAAATTATGCCCAGACATATTTCAACAATTCCAACCATTCTCATCCAAATAAATCTCCCTAAATGTTATTTGGAAAGTTATCATTCAAGTTTACTACAGAAAAACATGCAATTCCAGTCAAACAATGTATCATGGTACTCTTGAACATAAGCATCCCTGTGGCTCAACAACTGCTTTTTGCCATTCTCTGAGTACCAAGGATTACAGTCATGACGATATATATAGAAGTGGTAGAGCACCAAAACCAACATAAAGCTACAAAGAAAAGACTTTGAGATGAATGGAGCATTACAAATTAAAAAAAAAAAAAAGGTCTGTGCATTCCTCTGGAAAGACACTATGTGAGATAATAATTATGAATACAGTTGTAATTGTGAATTTATTTTTGTAATAATAATCCAGCAATACCAATAGTACTGGCTTTACATGTACTCCTCTCATTCATCTGAGCAAATATTTGGCCAAGAATAAGATAAATGGTCTAATTTGAAAAATAAGCACAAGTAATGAATCCATATGACTGATGTAAACAAATGGCCCTTACTTAAAAAGATTATTTACCTTACCCATTAGGAAGCAATGAGATGAGGTTTACATACACTCAGGGCACTTATTCCACCCTGTCTGAAAAACATCTACCAGCAGTCACTATTAGTACCATATAATTTCTGTACTATTTTCTCATACTGTGTATAGGTCTTCAATGAGATGCAGTACTTGCCTCTTCAAGCAGACGTGTAACAGCATCTATGTCATTGTATGTCTTAGTCATCTGGCCCACTCTTTCAGCACATAAAACTGTAAGAAAATAAGGTAAAATGTTAACAATATTGGCAACACCACTTGGAGAAAAATACATCCTTTAAAGAATATGCATTTACATAAGTTTACAGCTGAAAACTACTTATTTCATCTTTCAGGTTAGTGTATCAAAACATAAAATAATACAATATCAAAGCTCCAAGTTAAACTGAGAACACTGGTGTTTCTCTTTTGTAATGGGAATCTGTTTGTTCTGTGGCAGAGTAAGTCACTAAAATGTTAAAATTTTCTTCTCCAAAGAGGAATGCCTGAAGTTTTTGGGGAAAAAAAAACCAAAAAACCAACAAATCAAGGAAGAAGTGAATACATGTTCTTAGACACAAGAATAGGATTCTGTTGTGTCAGCTAGTCACTGCATTGTATGCAGTAGAATTGTTCCATGAATAAGGAACTCCAATAACTTTAATAACATTGTTCACCATAAATACTACATCATATTAAATTGAAAAGATCTAAGCAGTATGGTATGACATACCATGGAGACAGCAAAGCCATCACAAAATGCATGCAAAATAATAGCCCATTTTTATAACACTCGGACTACAACACCACGGCCACAGTAAAAATGTCTACTAAAACTGGGTGTTGGTGATCAAAGGCGAAGGTGGAACTGGGAGCTTTGTTAGTTGAAGGATGTATGTCAAAGTTTGGTCTACCACCCTAGGTAATTGTTTAGGAACCTGCACAAAATCATACAGAGATCTGCAAGTTTTCTAAAAAACTCATAAATAACCCCAAGAATCAATAGCCCTTCCTGCTCCATTCTTACACATATATATTTTTTTGTTTTCAGCTGCTCAAACCTTGTACTTCTGAAAAAAACCCAAACCAGATTGTTTATTAAAGTTGAGCTGATTGTATTGACTATTGGCTAGCAGACTGCTGTAATGCCAATTGTTCTTCAGGGGATTTACCCTTGGCAATGTCAGTTAAAGCTCAGCCTGATAGACTGGCTAATGCCACTTCAGCATGCATCGAGGGGGGTTGGGAGAAACAAAAACAAAGCCTAATAAGATTAAAAATAAAGTGCACTGGGTGCAGCAGTAAGGACATAATGCTGCCTAATTACAAGTATATAGGATACCTGCACATAAATATGCAGTCCGTCAGCACTAAGGCACATCAATGATATATCAACTATAGCAGTACTTTGATATCTGTTGAAATGTTGTTTTGTTTTTCCATACTTAAACATTAGAATAATGATTGAGCTAGAGCAAGAATCGCATTTATTTTGTTTGTTTTCCTGTTTCTCAAGCTCTGATTTTGAGGAACAAATCCTGAAAACATTTCAGTGATGTGAGTACACGTCAGTGCCAGGGAATTTCACAAAACATCATTCGAGTATACGCAAAAAATAACTGCATTTATCCAAATAACTATGCCTGAAAGTGGAAAGGGGATGAAGGTCCACTTCAAAGTAGTAACTTGACCAAAATTACACAGCAATATAAAGAATCACCATAGTATTGTACGATAACAGGGCATCTGTAAGCTAAAAGCTCTACGATCTGCTTCTGACTAAACAGGATTGCCACAGGAAAATAACCTGTAGTATCTTGAGGAGAACATCAACTGTATTAACCAAAGGAGTTAAGAAGTTTCCCATAGAAACTGCTTAAGAAAACAGAGGGGCTTACAAAAGATAATTCACAATAAAACGTCATTTTTGTGGTGATGCAAATCAATAGACAAGTTCAAAGGTCGTGCAATAACACCTATCAGAAGCCTTGACATCAAGGGTTTGTTTTCCAAAACAATGGCACAGTAAGTAGTTCCCTTGGTTACTGCATTCCCTTACTGCCATAAAATTACATTTGAGATATAAATACTGACAGTCACCACCAATTGTGACCATGCCAACTCCACACCGTTCTATTTCAGGTGTACATGTACCCTAGCTGATAGAAGCACGGTGCTCCCACAGACAGAATAAGGTCACTTGGGCAGCGAAAGAGAAATCAAGGTTGGTACCATGCAGTAGTTGTTCACGTAGCTATTCCTTCTGATTTTACCACTTAATCTTTATCTGACTGCCTTGATAACCTGCTGCTATTAAACAGCCATTTCAGTACATGGAACACTAGAATGAGTTGCACGCACATACAAACTTTTACGTATAATTAACATTTCTGAGCTTCAAGGGAAAGGTGACCTTGCCAACAAGCAGATATAACATAAAAGTTAATTTTCTTTCCAGTTTCTGCTGACAAACCAGAGAAACTGTCACAACAGCCATGTTACAGGTAGAGCAGTAGCAATCTGGTCACCAGCAGTTGTGTTTCAGAGCTAACACTGACCTTCTGTTTGTCACAGTTAACACAGAGTTCTTCACAAACTACTCTGACAATGTGAAACGGTTTCAAAGCCAAAATGATACATTATTCATCCTTCTCAGTATCCAAGTGGAAACAAACTTCAAAAGATTGCATACAATAAAACCCTCTGTCAGCTGCATCCTACAGTCGCACAAGGTGCAACCCAGCAGAAACAGCACAGACTGACACTAAGGGAGAGGAAAGCATTGCTTTTGGAGAGAGGGCAAGCTTAAAAACAGGTACAGTTCTCCCCCCCCTCTGAAACACAGGCAGCAGGGGAAGAAAAGGTAGAAAGAACAGAGAGAAAGCAATTCAGCAGCAGCATTTGAAAAATTCAGAACTGTTTAAGTATGTAGTCAATCTCTCCAAGTTAACATTAGGTCAACTGCTAGAGCAGTGATTTTGATTTCCTTCGTAGTCAAAAAAATCTACCAAGTGAAAAAGATGCATTATTTTGAGTTCTGATGAGTGAAAAACAGAGGAAAAAAACACCCTAGGCTTCTAGCCTGCTTTGCTTTCTGATAAATATGAGAGCCTCATAACACAACTGTAGATAAAACAAGAGCATATGAAGGACAATGCTCTGTAATGCAAAACCAGCAGTGCCAACTCGCTGACCTCTTTTTGCTCATTTGCAACCTATTATTATTTTTCCCTGAGGACGATCGGGACTGTAGTATCTAAATGCATGCATGCATACATCCAAGTCCAATGTACTTTCCACCTCACTGTTTATGGAGAAAGCCATTAGGCAATAAAGACAGAACGCTAAAATAAAAAAATAATAATAATCCTTAGAAAGTAGAGCACAGAATTTCACAAGCACTCACTTTTCTTGAGCTTTGAAATTACTGTCGCAGATAGAAAACAAAACAAAGAACGAAGAATGCTTCTATCGTTATTTTCAAGACTGCATTAAATGCACAAAACAAACAGATCTGGTAGCAGAGCTATGGGTTTTTTGTTTGTTTGTTTGTTTTTTTTTGTTTTTTTGAAGTCAAGCACATAAATGGATCAAGATTTTCCTCTGACCTAAAGTACCTAGCACCATCTTCATTCTCTCTTAAGGCTCGTAGATTAACAGTTATCCACACTGTGATGCTTCTCAATTGGATTACGATTGAGAAGATGTACTTTGCATTTGTTTCTCATTACTCATTTAATGCAGCATCTGACTAGAAGCATCCTTTGGGCTCTGAGTTCTGCACTGCCTAAAGCACCAACCAAGCTGAAGGTGCCCAGAAAAGAAAGTACATGCCTGCCTGGACTGCGCCCTGAAAGCCACAGAACCACGCATCACGCTGATTAAAAGAAAAGTCTGTTTCCAGGAGCAGGAAAGAGCCAGGGAGTGGAAGGGGAGCAACAGCATTACTATTGGGAACTGCTGCACTGAGCCACCTTCTCCAAACAGTGGGTGCAGGTGGAAAAAACAACAGCAGTCATAGGTGACATCAGCCCCGGCTGTACTAGCTGACCAGAACCAGCACTTCCTCCCTGTGACACAGCCCACCCTAATCCTTGTGTTGAAGAACTAAGAGAGCAACCAAGGCTGAAGAGGGAAGCTCAGCTCTCATTGCTCCTCTTCCTATTCACTTCTCATCACTGTCAGAATGCAGATAAGACGATAAAGTTCCACTTTTAGGGAAGGTAATACTGACCTGTATAGAAACACAGTCTGGCAGACATTCCGTGGCAGGCTCAGACTCCTCAGCTCACACTGGTTTAGTTTCCGCATTCTGTGCATAAAGGAATTACCCAAACTCACATTCACAGTCCCAGAGCCACTAGATGTTACTCTCTGGCACACGTTACCCGTAAGCACTACCTCGATCAAGTGAGGGGCATGGGGCCATCCTGGAATGGTGTCACAGCATATGTATTTCCTTGCAAATGAACTCAGAAATAAAATATTCCACCAGTTCTGCTATCATTCAAGCTAGAGAGGTTTAACTTCTCCCCTGCTAAAGAGAAGTCTCTAGCAGCCCTGGCTAAATCAAAGCAGAGGCTTCTGGCCACTGAGGTCTGGCACATCCCAGATGGGCCTCGGGGAGCAGCTTAACATCTTAAGCGACTTTTGTCACAGGAGCTTGGAAAACGTGCTTGGAAAACAAGGCAGGACTTGCCAGGACCCCTAATTCACACACAGCACGCTGCAGGCCTGTGGCCATGCCCTTCCTCTCCTGAGGCAGGAGCGCGGCCTTCTGCAGGAGGCAGGTGCACTCAGGGCAGATGGGAGGTCACTGTGCAGCCCTGGTAGACAGCCGCTGCCCCACAGCTCACAGTCACACTGTGGGCAAGGAGTTTGAAGGGACGCTGTTGTGAACAGTACAGGCTCGTTCAGCAACTACACAACAACGTGACAAACAGCACCATCAGTAGGCAGCACCAACAGATTTCCACCCCCAATAAGAATATCATATAGGTGTTCCATCTATTAATACAAACTCAGATCAAGTGTCGTACCTTGGCAAGTACTGCCACAAAGCAAAACTAAGGAAACTGCCCCAATGTTTGGGTCCCATGACTTACTGTAACCTTAATGCCTATCATTTACTGATAGAATCCATCACAGCTCTTCTGTGAACTTCTATTTTTCCCCCTAATAGGATTTTTCATCTACTATTCATTGAATTATCCTGACATTCTCCTTCATTCACT